CCTCTACTCTACCAAGCAAGATGTCCTTCTCCAGGGACTGGTCCCTCCTGATAACATGTCCAAAGGACATGAAACCAAGTCTTGCCATCCTTGCTTCTAAGAAGCACTCGGGCTGTACTTCTTCCCAAGCGTGATGTCCTTCTCCAGGGACTGGTCCCTCCTGATAACATGTCCAAAGTACACGGGAACAAATCTTGCCATCCTTGCTTCTAAGGAGCATTCTGGCTGTACTTCTTCCAAAATAGATTTGTTCTTCTGGCAGTCCATTGTATATTCAATATTCTTCACCAACACCATAATTCAAATGGATCAATTCTTCTCTGGTCTTCTTTATTCATTGTCCAGCTTTTGCATGCATATGAGGTGACTGAAAATACCATGGCCTGGGTCAGGTGCACCTTAGTCCTCAAAGTGACATCTTTGCTATTCTATCTATTCTATGAAGAATTTAAATTATTTTTAAAAGAACTAAAAATTTGAGAAGTAAAAATTGCTACCCAGTAATTCATATAATTAATTCTGATGATTTTGCCAAGTCATTTTCTTATTGCCTTTGCAAGAATTCCTACCATTGGCAGACTTGAACATACAGACCAAAAATGCCCACTGTCTTTTAAGAACAGCATTAAAGCATTATAAAACAATGTATTAATCACTTATCACTAACTGGTTTATTTTTCTTTATTGTCATATCCTTAATTAAAATAAGCACATATTAAGATCATATTTCTTGGTCTTATCCATCTCACAAATAAAAGATATTCTATCCAATACCACTTTTATGTGTTAATTTTATGAAGTTTTAATGTTACTCCATCAAGGGCTTCCAAAACCATCAAAAACTCTGGTTAAATTTTATATTATAGTTAGTGGAAACTAAAGTTTGCTTGGTTAAAAAAAAATCTATTTACAAGGATGCTTTTTCTCACCATTCTTATTCAACATTGTGCTAGAGGTCCCAGCCAGAGCAGTTAGGCTAGAAAAAGAAATAAAGGGCATCCAGATTGGTAAAGTATCTCTATTTGTGGATGATATGATCTTACACACAGAAAACCCCAAAGAATCCACAAGAAAACTACTGGAACTAATAGAAGATTTCAGCAAAGTTTCAGGATACAAGATAAACATATAAAAATCAGTTGGATTCCTTTATATCAACAAAGAGAACCTTGAAGAGGAAATCACCACATCAATACCATTTACAATAGCCCCCAAGAAGATAAAATACTTAGGAATAAATCTAACCAGAGCTGTAAAACACCTATACAATGAAAACTACAAGACACTACTGCAAGAAACCAAAAGAGATCTGCATAAGTGGAAAAACATACCTTGCTCATGGATAGGTAGACTCAACATGGTGAAAATGTCAATTCTACCCAAAGTGATCTACAGATACAACGCAATCCCAATCCAAATTCCACCAGTATTTTTTAATGAGATAGAGAAGCAAATCACCAACTTTATATGGAAAGGGAAGAGGTCTTGAATAAGTAAAGCATTTCTCAAGAAGAAGAACAAGGTGGGAGGCCTCACACTACCTGATTTTAGAACCTATTATACTGCCACGGTAGTCAAAACAGCCTGGTACAACAGATACATAGACCAACGGAACTGAATTGAGCATCCAGACATAAATTCATCCACCTATAAGCAGCTGATATCTGACAAAGGCCCAAAGTCCATTAATTGGGGAAAAGACAGTCTCTTTAACAAATGGTGCTGGCATAACT